ATACGTTGAATATCTTTACATCTGTACACTGTACAGGGCACACAAAATCCATTCCTTACAGTTTTCAGACAAACATTTTCTTTATTTGAAAAAAAAAAAAAAACAAAAAAAAAAAGGCCAAAAGTTATATATAAAAAAACCACCAGGTTTGCTGTGCTTGTTTGTAGGGCTGCACAATTTGGCCCAAAAATTTTGTTTTTATATGTCAATATGACTAATAATAATTATATTATTATTACTAAATAAAAACATTAAACAAAATAAGGAATATTACTATATCACTATAATAACCACTAAAATATACAAAACTGAGTATTTAAAAATAAATATAAATATAGATGCAAGCAGCGATTACTGGGGTTCAAGCACTTAAAGGCCTTCATGGCTTCTATGTTGTCAGGGGTCTCAGCCAACGTGAATGTATGACTGACACCAGAATGCATCCATGATGGAGAATATGATGACACACACACAGACTAATGAAAAGGAACTATATTACTTAACACACACTCTATTACTTAATACAGACTAAGCATGCTCACACACAGACAGACACACATTATGTTGTAGATATAGATATCTGAATTACACATTTCATTACACCAAATACACAAAATAATTTTATTTTTAGCAACATCATATGACTTCTTTAAATGTTATAAGATGCTTACTGGAAGTGTCCTGTTTATAATGTTTTTTTCAGGTTTAAATTTAACCATAATGTGGCATAATTGTCAAAACTGATATGTCTGTATAAATGAAGTGGTAAACGTTGACTAAATGTGATTTTAAATGTAATAATAATGATTTTAAACTATCTGAATGTCAGTATCTAAGTAAAACCTGAGAAAAGAACTTTATAAGTGATAGAATGAGTCAATGAGTGATCCTTTGCTGCCATCTAGTGGTTGTATTTGCACTTTCAGGGAATGCAGCATAGATACGTAGTGTTTTTAACCTTCATAACTATTACAGTGTCAGTTTCTGTCCCATCTCCATAAAATTTAGCATGATTGTTTAGAATTACTTTTACATACTTTTGTGATGTTTTGAGTTTTCTTTTAAGATTTATAGACTTTTGGGTACACTAGATCAAGACCATATTATGAAATGGCCCTGTTATGACAGTCCAAATGCAAATGTTCAACATTTTTTGATAATTATTGATCTAGAGAGTCCAGAGAATTGTACTGCACTGATTTTATTGATTTTGAGTTTAAAACCTACGACTAGTTCACAAAAGTAGTTTTTTTTTTTTAAATAATCTCAAATGTTTAATGAACAGTTTGATTGACAGCATTGGTCCTAGAGGCAAAGTTGTTCAGAATGAGGAGGTCTATCATATGATATGAAGATCTAGTGTTTGTGTGAATATATGAAAATTTTTATTGCAATTTGATGTCATTTACTATAGAAATATTGTGTTTTTGAGGCCTTTTTAATTGTTATAGCGCCACCTATGGTCCGATCTCCATGAAACTTTGCATGCTTGTTAAGAATCAACTGTTGCATGTTTTCAACAAGTTTCATAAAGTTTTAAGCGTTCTTTTAGGTTTTATAGGCTTTTGGGTATATTTGGCCACGCCCCTTTTCTAAATGACCCCGTTATAGCTAACCAAAGGACAACATTCAACATTTTTTTGATAATTATTGATCTAGAGAGTCCAGACAATTGTTCTGCAGTGGTTTGATTGAGATTGAGTGAAAAACCAAGGACTAGTTTGCAAAAGTAGGTTTTTAACATAATTGAGAATATTTAATGAACAATTTGATTGACAGCAATGGTTCTTGAGGCAAAGTTGTGTATTATAAAGAGATCTATCAAATGATATGCATATTGTGTGGATGTGTGAAACACCATGTGATTACAGAGCCATAAAACTCGTTAGCACCAACTAGTGGCCGATTTCTTTCAAAATTCGTACAGACATTTAGGGCCATGAGTCGAACATGCCCACCGAGTTTTGCTCCGATCGGCCTCCGTTAACCTTTTCTAATAGGTGCTCAATCTTCATTGGCCGATGGCGGCCATGTTTTTGGAGATACGCCAATGTCCTCATAGACCCTCATGGCACATTGGACAAAGACACTGCATACCAATTTTCAGGTCAATTGGACTAACGTTTGAGTAGTTATAGCTGTTTTTATATTTTATATATATCTTATAGCGCCACCAAGTGGTAGAGCTGCGCGATTTGTTTTTTTTTTGACCAAAGATTGAGCTCTTACACATGTTTACCAAGTTTGGTGAAGATATCTCATTCCGTTCATGAGTTATAGCCATTTTAGTAAAAATGGCCCCTCCCCTTACAAATGTTTTGCCGTCACTATGCGACAGTGAGTCGAAATTTCAACTTTTGATTTTTATAATTATTGATATTCACTATCCAGAGAATATTTCTTCAGTGGTTTAGTTCCGATCGGGCGAAAAACCTAGGACTAGTTCTCAAAAGTAAGTTTTGGACATAACTCAATTGCGGAACGTGACCCGTAACTCAAGGATTCCAAAAATGTATTTTTTAAAATATTTGTTATATATATTCGGTCTAGGAGTTATGAGCACTTTCGCGTTTTTGGTCGCTGTAGCGCCACCTATAGGCCGATTGGGGTGAGTCTTTCTCAGGTTCTCCCCAAATTGAGCTCTATCATCTGGCCAAGTTTGAAGTCTCTAGGCCTTACGATTTGGTCTGCATGATCAGTTTTACGGCAGAATAATAATAATAATAATCCTTACAATTACAACAGGGTTTCATCACTACGTGCTTGAACCCCTAATAATAAATATAGCTGCAAGAAAAAGAAAAAAAAATTGTACACTTCTCTACACTGGAGAAAAAGGTAAGGATTTACATATGTTTACCTTAAAGTTCTTAAAGGTGACATATTATGCCCCTTTTTACAATATGTAATATAAGTCTCTGGTGTCCCCAGAATGTGTCTGTGGAGTTTCAGCTCAAAATACTCCACAGATCATTTATTATATAATTTTGAAAATGCCTATTTTGAGTGGAAGCAGAAACAAGCAGTTTTTCGGGCCGGTGTCTTTAAATGCTAATTAGTTGCAGCTCCCCGCCCCTTTTCCAGAATAGAGCTGCGCCATTACAGCTCGTATCTGTTAAAAAACATCTGTTTTGGTTCTTTTTATCATGTTTATCGTGCTGAAATCATGCGTTTTAAACCATATGAATTTAAACTTCAGATATACGGTTTTAGACAGTGTTCTGTGCTCGTCTGTGCAGCCAAAGACAGAACAGTTAGCGTGTTTTGCTCAAACTTTCGCCATGGCATTAGAGCTGGTACACCATTGTCGTTTGCGAAATCAAAATGACGGCGCCGTGGGTGGAAACTTTTTCACGTTTCCTTGGTTGGTAGATGCACCGGGGACCATAGCACTTAAAAAACCTGGAAAAGTCCGATTTTCATGATATGTCACCTTTAAAAGAGAAGTATTATTTTTCCTATTTTTACACAAACCAATTAGCAAGATAAGCTAATATACTGTACACAGCCAGCTAGGCCAACTTAACAATCAATTTCATTATTTATTATTATTTATATTTATTTATTATTTATATGGTTTTCATTATTGGTAATATTAAAGTATTATATTACCATGTGAACTCTGATTGGATGGTTGAGAGGTACTCATATTTATGTAATGATCTGTTTGAATTAAGATATCTCCAAATACATTCTCACTAGTTATTTATGAGGGTGAAGATATCTCCAAAAGGACAGGAAGTAGTTGTTATTCTGTTTTTGATATCATCTATTAATTAATGACTAGTATCATTCCAATAGTGACTAGTATCTATTTAAATACTACTAAGCATTCATTAGATGCTAGTACGTATTTATTAGATGCTGGTAATTATTCATTAGATACTAGTACCTATTTAATAAATACTAGTAGCTATTCATTGCGTACTAGTACTTATTTATTAGACACTAGTTCTTTTGTAATTATAGTGTAGTAAAAATTCTTATCTTACTAGTCAGATCTGCTTTTTTACTCGTCTTATGTTATGACTAGTCCGAATGGCCACAGTAGAGTTCAGTTAAACATTTTACTAGTAAAATTAAAAAAAATTCTAACTAGTAACATTTCAAATAAGTACTAGTATCTAATAAATGTGAACTAGTATCTATTTAAAGGCAGGGTAGGTAATTTGGTTCAAAAACATAATTTTTTTAAATGCTGGACACACTCCGCACAAACACTTCAATAGCGCACATTTTTCTAGGTTAAATACACCGTGAACAGGAAGTTGCTGCCGACTTTATTTTAGTGTAGTGACGTATTTCCAACTGAAACGGAATATTGAATAGAGGGCGGGGTTTAATTTTTGCACGCCTCCTCTCTGTCTCTCACTCATAGCAACCTAACAGTTGGAGGGGCGTGGTTAAGGATATTCTGCCCAAGTAAATGTTCAGATTTTGATGAATGATTACCAAGACAATTTTTTTTCAGTGGATTAACTTACACAGATTAATTGTTCACCTCAAGACTAGCAATGCGCGCTAAGTAAATAAAGTCAATTTTGATTTCATGAGGACATGTTAGGATGAGCAGCCATATTTCATGTTTCAGATGATAAGCCACATTTGAGGTCGATGATTGAAATGAACGTTTGGATGTCCTGACCGATGTACTGTAATTACCACATAGACCAGGTGTTAATGATATGTCCGTCACAGACTATGTAACTTTGCCTCTTCCCATTGATTTTTTTTCTGCGATTAAGCAACTAATAAAATGTTGATCGATTAAGCCTCTTCTAGTCAACTAGTTGACTATTAGGGGCTGCCCCAGTCAATGGCAAGACAGCCAATCCCAGTGACATTACACTTTACAGTACTGTAAGATGGCGTGATGTTCCTAAAAAAAGCTATAATAGGACACATTTTTGTTTACATTTGGCATATAATTTTTGATTAGGATGGAAATACATTTATTAAATGATGTAAACATGACTGACTGATTCATATCCACTTGAAGTCAGCATTTAATGGAAGTTCAACCTATCAATGCGACTTATTGTTCTTAGTGTGAATGTTTAACCGATGCATATGTTTATTATTATTATTTTTATTTTTATTTTTTTGCGGTAACACTTTAGTATAGGGACCAATTCTCCCTATTAACTAGTTGCTTATTAGTATGCCTATTATTAATATATTGGCTGTTTATTAGTACTTATAAAGCAGATATTTTGCATGACTATATTCTACATCCCTAATCCTACCCAATACCTAAACTTAACCATTACCTTACTAACTATTAATAAGCAGCAAGTTAAGAGTTTACTGAGGCAAACATCATAGTTAATTGGAGAATTGGACTTTAAAATAAAGAGTGAACTTTTTAGCTCATCATAATAAAATGTCCTAACTTCAAACATTTAGTCTGCTTAAACCAGGCCCTTTCTCACAATTGACTGAAAGCTCCCATTTAGATCTGCCTTAATCCAAACAACAACCGATGGTTAAGTCCCCATTTTAAAAAAACCCCAATTCAATATTTATTGAATATTATTTTATAAATATTATTGAATATTTAATTCAATAATTTCACTCGGATGTATGGAACAAAAGATCTGTTGCTACTTACGTATCATAAGAAAATACAAATATGTGGAGTGGGACCAAGTGTAGTGAATCTCACAAAAACATGTCACGTTCCACTCTAAATTTTATACCATCCATCATGATGACATATTTTTATTATTTTATTTAATTCAGATTTCACTGTGTAGTTAAACCATAGTATTAAATTGCTGAAACTAGTACAACAAAAGATATGCTACTAAGCATTCATACTGTTTTTGTGGTTCAGTTGGTTTGGCATATGTGAATCAATGTTCATACCAGGTCTGTTTGTAGTGATTCTGTCTGCAGGTTTGGCTCTGTCATCTGGGGGAACTCTCAGCCCATGAAGCTCAGCCAGATAGTGGCTCTCTTTCTCTCGTGCTGACCTCTCCTTCTGTCGCTCCATCTCTCTTTCACGTTCTCTCTCTTTTTCCCTTTCTCTCTCCCTCTCTCTCTCACGCTCCAGCTCCTTCTCTCTCTCTCTCTCCCTCTCCCTTTCTCGCTCACGCTCTTTTTCTCGCTCAGCCTCTCGTTCTCGTTCTTTTTCCCGCTCGCGCTCTCTTTCTCTCAGTCGCAGCTCGTCCTCCATCTGGAGTCTGTGAAGACACAACACACACAGATGAGCTCAAACTACAGAAACATATACATATGCACAAATACATGTTTGTGGTACTTCTAAAGTTTGTCCAGCAACAAGCTACTCATAAATTTAAACTAGTCCTTCAAACTACAGTCAAGCTCTCCTTTTGTAGTTACATTAATAAAGAGCATCTTTTTTTCCCAAATGCTATTTATTGAAAAAATTAAGGATGCACTGAATTTTCGGCAGCCGAAAATGACATTTTCAGTTTTGCGAGCCGAAAATATAGGCTACATATAATAATAATAATATATATGGCACGCCGCGCCCCGCTCGGCAGTGTTCAGCGCGCGGGTTTCACTCTCCTCATCACTGCACGGTTTGACGCTCCGCTCAATGAATGTGCGTTCCGCTCGTGTACCGCTCATGCTCACCTCCTCATCACTGCGTGGTTTGACGCTCCGCTCAATATTCCGCTCTATGAATGTGTGTTCCCGCTCATGTACCGCTCATGCTCACCGGAAAAGCAAAGTCCGCTCAAATAACGCGCTGACAGGAAATTTCTATGCAGTATACTTGTTCCTGTTTGCAGTAGCGCTACTCTGCTGTAACATGGTGTAGGCTAGTTCAGCTGTACTGGGCAACGCTGCTAAAATGATGCCACCGTCAGTGACGCTATGCTCTGCACATATGCTCTGATAATAATAGCTTTGTAGGACTATACATTAATAAATTCTGTCCAGTTTTATTGTGTTACATTCAGTAAAAGTGTGGTTATTTTATTGGCTTGCGTTTTTTTAAATTCAGTATAATTTAAATTGAGTTAAATTACTTACAAAATTACTTTATATTATTTAATAAAATAATAAATAATCATTACAAAGCATGTTCGGTTTCGGTTTCGGTTTTCGGCCAAGTGCATCCAGAATTTTCGGTTATTTCAATTCTCTGTGTGTATGTGCTGTACATGTGGAAGAATTGACAATAAAGCAGACTTGAACTTGAACTTGAACTTGAACTTGTAAAGTGTTACCAATATTAATATAAATTCTGTCCAGTTTTATTGTGTTACATTCAGTAAAAGTGTGGTTATTTTATTGGCTTGCGTTTTTTTTAATTCAGTATAATTTAAATTGAGTTAAATTACTTACAAAATTACTATATATTATTTAATAAAATAATAAATAATCATTACAAAGCATGTTCGGTTTCGGTTTCGGTTTTCGGCATCCAGAATTTTCGGTTTCGGCCCAGAATTTTCATTTTGGTGCATCCCTATAAAAAATAATAAAATTTAATCAAGTCTGCAATGTTAGTACATTACTATAATTAGATATAATGTCATGAAATTAGTTTATGGCCATTACCATTACAAAAATGACAGTGGTACAATATAATAGGGTATAGTGATTCATCAAGTTGTAATACACTGATATATTTCAGTATTTCTGTTTACGTCCAGGTTTCATGGTGCTGTTGTGTACCTCTCTGACAAGCGTTCCGACTGTAGGCTGGACAGTGAGGGGTGGCTTAGGTCTCCAGGGTAACGCACCCCAGGCAGGTGCATGTGTACTGCAGACGGGTGAAGAGGAGGTAGAGCACCCCCTGCAGGCAGTGGATAGAACGGCGACCTCAGCGCTGACAGACAGAATGGATCATCCATTCTAAGAGAGTTAAAATGAGAGTTAAAATTTAAAAGAATTTAAACACTGTGGCTCTTTCAAATCATTGCTCTGTTTCTCTGAGCATTCTGACCAGCCCAACACAGCAATATTGGCTCAAATTGAGTTTAGGGCTGTTTGGCCAACAAAAGGCTGAATTGGGAATTGTTTCAGGAAAGGTGCTACTGTGGAGATTAAGCTCTGCTTACACCAAGAATAGTAACTATAAAGATAACTATACTGATAAATATATATGTGTCCTTACCAATGGATGACAACATTGTTTTTTTATTAAGCACATAATGCAGTTATGTCATCTGCCACTTTAAATGCTCAAGCTCTTTAAATTTAGGTGGAATCTGATTGCCTGTCAGTATTTTTATCGTTCATTGTTCGTTATTTTATAGTTGTGGTGTGGACTTCCTTAATCTTACAGAATTAGGTGATTATTAATGACTGATTGTTAAAACTTTATAGTTATAGTTATCATCCTTTATTGTCCATGTCATTGTTATAAGTGTGAACGTTCTGCTTAATGTCTACTTTTGTGTTCCACAGAAGAAAGACATTCACATAGATTGGCAACAACCTGAGAGTAAGTAAGGACAGAATTATCACTTCATTTGCTTTAGTTGACAGAAAATCTCAAATCTCCAGGGTTTTAAACATGTTATTCGTTGCATGTTTGTGTACCTGTAGTGTGAGAAGGAGGGGTGGGGCAGATATCCAGGGTGGTAGTAGGCAGCAGCAGCTGCAGCGGTGGCAGGATCAAGTCCCAGGGGTAAAGAGGGCATGCGGAGCTCCTCAGCTGTGGCGTAAGGACGAAACCCCCTCAGATATTCTTCAGGAACACTGGCCGGGGGCACGGCATGGGGCATCTGACGGGGCAGGCTGTCAGTGAAATACAGGAAGAGAATTTAAAGCAATATAGCCAATTAAAAAAATAAAGAATCATGTCACAAGTTGTGTCTGAAAAGGGATGGCAGGTTTTAGGATTTCTCCACACACCTTAAAATTTTTAGCATGAACAAAATTGTAACAAAGCGGAAAGGTAACACTTTACAATAAGTTTTCATTTGTTAAAGGCAAGGCAAGTTTATTTACATAGCACATTTCATACACAATGGTAATTCAAAGTGAAAAAAAAAATTAGATTGAAAATGAAGTAAAACAGTTAAGAATAAAAAATGAGGAAACAGTGCAATCAATTTGGACATAGCACAGTGCTCATTCAGTAAATGCACAGCTAAACAGCTGTGTTTTGAGACTGGATTTAAATATGGCTACTGATTTAGCACATCTAATCTCTTCTGGAAGCTGGTTACAACTGCGGGTGACATAATAGCTAAAAGTGGACTCCCCTTGTTTTGAGTGAACCCTTGGTATTTCTAACTGACATGATCGTAATGATCTGAGTGGTCTGTTGGATTTATATTCAGTGAGCATATCTGCATGTATTGAGGTCCTAGGCCATTTAGTAATTTATAAACGAGTAATAATACATTAATATCAATCCTAAATGTAACTGGAGGTCAATGTAAGGACCTGCGGACTGGTGTAATATGCTCAGATTTTCTAGTTCTAGTCAGAATCCTGGCAGCCATATTCTGTATGAGTTGCAGCTGTCTAATGGTCTTCCTGGGAAGGCCAGTGAGAAGTCCATTAAAATGGTCTACTCTGCTGGTGATAAAGACATGAACGAGTCTCACCAGGTCCTGACAGGAAACAAAACATCTAATTCCTGCAATGTTTTTGAGATGATAGTATGCTGATTTAGTTATTGCACATCAAGATTCACATCAAGATACTTGACTTGATTTTTTGTTGTTTGACCCCTTAGTCAAGGTATGCATTAACCTTGAGAACTTCATCTTTGTTTCCATATGTGACGACTTCAGTTTTCACTTTGTTTAACGCGAAAGTGAAGAAAGTTTTGGCATACCTAATTTCATCAATGGATTGGCAGAGGACTGACAATGAAAAATACTTACAAAGCGTTTATTAACCTTTGTTGATATTAATTTCAACATTTTCGTAAAGTATTATTAAAATCTGTTCCAAATTATTTAATTGACCTGAGCTAATAATGAACAGTTTTCTAACCAGTGTTTCCCATTAATTACCAAGATTGTGGTGGCCCGCATCTAATCCGCCCCGCCACAGTTTCATAATAACCTGAAAATATTTCATAATAACATAACACATCTCTAAAATCCAAATAGAGATATGGCTTAGCAGTAGGGCTGCACGATAAATCGAAATGGAATCGAGATCGCGATTCGACAGAAGCTGCGATTGTCATGCGTATCTTTCAGTGAAGCACGGTTCTGTGATCAGAATTAAATCTCAATCCAAAGGCCAGAGGGTGCTCTCACGCTGAAACTCCAAATACGCCTCGCAGAAGAAACCCAGAAAATGCCTATCTGCAGCTGAATAAACAGAAGATTCAACTGCTTTCATTGATTCAACGTGACTAATAAACACACGACTACAGCAACATACGGTTTATCTGAGTTCTTATTATTATAATTTTCATTAAAATAAAGTATATTTATAATGCAATGCCTTTATCACTGCTTAAATACTATGAAATATGTTGCGTGCCTTATTCTGTGTAAGAAGCCACATCATCTCACAGAAGGATTGTGACATTATTATTATTATAAGGATTATTTCAAACACTCGACTGACGTTATGAAGTGAGTTTGGAGTAAAAATATGTTATTAAATGTGGTATTTTCACATGCTTTCAGATGGAGCAGCATTTACTTCACAGAGCCGTAGTTCACTGAGAAGCTATGCAAACAGCTGTCATTAGCGCGAATGATTTCTTCGATTTCAGAATCGTGCAATAAAATCGTCATTTTTTTGCGTAACTTGTCAGTGAACTACGGCTATGTGTAGTAAATTCTGCTCCATCTGAAAGCACGTGATGATGATTTACTGCTGATTACAGAACCGGCTTTACTAACAAAATGCGCAT